TGTGACTGAATTGGCTCTTGTGTGTGATCTCTCCTACCACATTGACTCATCCTACTTCCTCTCGTGCATTGTACTCTGGTTGGACGTATTGAAGGCAAGCACAGTTGCAATGTGCTGTGTTCAATAGATGGTTACCACCGGTAGAGGCCCTTTCATTTCTTCGTAAAAGCCTCGTGGCAAGTAGCTGGCGATTTGTTGATCTGACCGCATTTCATTGGGATGCAGCTGAAAATGGTATAACAACGATGTTACAGAGTAATTGCGTTTACCAATACTACCTCACTTAACAATAGCGTCATTACAACACTTGGCAGACCTTGGACAGGTGGATAAGATGTGACAGTGCTAGTTGTGTAACATTTACATGCAACGCTAATGTACTTTCCTCATTTGTTAATGTTTCTGTGTTCCCCAGATGTCTTCATGAGGACAGTCCAATCCATACAATATTTCTCCCCACTCCTTCAGTAAAAATGATTAGTTGGTGAAGTAACTAAGCGAATGGTCGCGTCAGGTGTCAAATATGTCAGAGATGTGCGAATTACACATTGAGTTGAAGGAGACCAAACGACGAGCAGTGCAGTCGAAGTGTGTGAAGTTCCAAAAGGGTGCGCAACATCTAACGTCGTGCTGTTTGCATTTCCTGTCATGGGTTGAGTGAAGTCCCCACAACTCATGCCTCATCTAGTCACGTAAACGCAGAGAACATACACACGTCTATCGGTCACTTGTGGTAGACGAACGAGTAAGTTAATGATCCACACAAGAACTCGGATTCGTACACGGAGTAAAGGAATTGCACTGTGGATACTGGATGCTTAGTCATTTGATTATCCATCAACTACTATTTGCGAATTTCACTTCACCTGTATGCTGACGGAATTATGAGATCATTTGTTGCCACTTTTACTTCTGATTATATGTGAGTCAGCAAGCTGCCCCTTCCATTGCTGCTTTTAAATTACTGATAGCAAGCGTTGAAGTAAAAGCATGCAATGGAGGCGTGCGGATGAGCCACCGACCAAAACTAGAGAGGAATATTCAGTGTGGAATCGTGAGTAGCGCGTACAAGATGACTGTGATTCGATTAAGCTGAACAGTACCCTCCATGGACAGAAGGCAATCTGCGAGGTCCGTTGTATTTGTGAGTGAATTGCCAGCACGAGCGCATACCAGACGGTGGCTACTGGTTAAACGAGCGATTGTTGAATGCCTTCCACATGGATATAGACGCATGCACCTATGTGAATGCTGGTGTTATGGTAACATCGGAACCAAGGAGAAAATCAAGATATTACTGTTTCGGATAAGGAATGACTTCGCTACAGGAATGAAACGTAAAGTGCTTCGAAACCACACCTTGAATCCCGCCAATTCGTATTGAAATTGTGACTTATCAGAATGGGATCATTCGGAATTTGAAGCGTCTTTAAAACTAGTCCTATCTTCAATGAGCACTTGTGAGTGCCCTGCCTCGAATCGTAGTTTCAGTGAGCAAGCTTCCTGCTGCAGATTTTCATTTGGGTTCAAAGCAATTTCTGTCGCGATACTATTGACTAGAGAATGTCTTCAAGGAATATCCTTAAGCTTACCAAACCAAGGAGTAAAATTGCTGTAGTTAATTGATTACATTCAAGCAATTACTGTAAGCGTTAAAACGAAGGACTGAAGATTTGTGATGCTTGGTGCTTCTTCGACGATGAACCACCACTTACCTTATCTAGTTTCAAATTATCATGAGCTATGCTGTAGAGTGAAATGCTTCCTTGAAGTGCTGCCCATTGATTGAACTACATTAATGGGTAGTATCAAGCCCTCCAAATTGTGAAGGGTGACTTATGTGACTATTGAAAATATAGCAGAACTCCCATGTGCCACTTCAGAGAAGTGTCCTTTCAATGTACGATGCAATGACAAGTACAGAAGTGGACAGGTCAGTACATGGAACAACAAACTGCGAGTCTAATAAGCAGAAAGAA